CCCATTGACTAAAGTAAAGTTACGCAAGTGTGTAAGTGTTTGCAGAATCAGAGGCATTATTGTGGAAGATTCTGACTCACTCTTAAACTCTCTTTACAAATCAACAAGGTGTTCCTTTCCAAAGTTTTATATTCAGGTTAAAAAAAAATCATGTGATGTAACAAGTTTAAATTCAGAGGGTTTTTTTAGTGAATATATGCCAATTAAATCATGGATCACACCGAAAACAATCCACTTTGTAACTACAAATAAGTGCTGTGATGTTGAAATATTTTCATTTGATTTGAAGAAAGGGGAAGTGTAGCTTCATGTGACTGGAGTAAGAGGTAAAGTTGGGTTGAGTACATGCATGTTATGTATACATTCCAAACATTCATTCTCCAAAGTTTTTTATTTACCTTCTAGTGAAATTATTATTTCTCTACTAATTGATTCTGGCTTCCTGCTAACAATTATCACTTATATTTGGACTTGTAGTCCTTAATAAAACCTTAGCAATTTGCACGATCTGCAAGACCAAAACAGGATTCCAAAGAAGAGAAAAGAAAAAGATAGAACAATGCTAAAGGTAAGTAGATTTAGTGAGAGAAGAAAAAGAACATTCAGACTTTAAAAAAGAAAAGAAAACAGTCCATTATTTGAGCACTTAGCCGGGGGGTGGGGAGGGTTCTACAAAGGAAATCTATCAGGAAGCCAGTGTGCAAGGAGGCTGTCAGTTTTGACCTGTGTTAACATTTCACTTCTCCCTTTTAGAATCATAGAGTCTATATCCCAGTCCTCAAATGTAGTAATGATGTGTGTTGACATTCAATCCTCAAACCATTGACCCTACAGTTAACTTTAAGGAATTGTGGCACATAGGAGAGAGTAGGATACTGCCAGTCTAACACCTCAGGATCATACTCCAGCAGGGCTATCGACTCCAGAAGTAATTACTGCTTCATTGCTATAACCCCATAAATAGTACTTCAGTTTCCTTGCTGGCATCTCCCAAGGAGTCTTTGCTTTGGTGACCCTATGTTTAGTCAGTGGGATCTGTGCATCATTGCAGGCCCCTTTAAGCCTTGCTTGTCTAGGAAATAGCTTGGTGTTAGAAACTGTTTTCGCTAATGTGATATTAAACAAGATTGTCCCTTTGTGTGGTCTTGGACAGTTGTAATTGAAAATGTATTTGCTGCTTGTGGTTATTCCTAGGATATCTGTCCACACTGCCAACAAAAGCATATATAACATCATGTTAGTTTGAAAACATGTTCCTATTTCCTAGTATAGAGGAGGTCTTAATTTGAGTGTATCTGAGAAAATATGTCCCAAAAGTTCTTATGTTTAAATTTGTTTATTGATAATTGTTAGTTGAGATGAAGTTAGTTTCAATGTTGCTGTTTCTGATGGAAAAATAACAGCACATTTTCTTAAAATTGTTTTGAGATGCTCAGCATTGCTGTTGCTAATGAAATATTTATTAAAAGAGACATTTTCTTTTAGATGTCTTGTGTCCACTGGAGGCCATGCTATCTAACCTATGTATTGTCTAGCGATATTTCTAATGTTTTTGAATTGTTGGTAAGACTCCCTCTGAAACTTCTGGCTTGTGCAATATTGTGGTGGTGTGTAGTCTACTTTTGAATAAGCTTTGGTTCCATTCAGCGAAGTTAGCTGTTTGATTTTTATCAAATAAAAAACAAATGCTGTTCACAGGTATTTTCTTACATTGGTTGAAGACATTCTAGTCTTTCCAATTTGTTCCTTGTAAAAAAAGAAGTCACTAGTCCAGTTTCTGACTACACTAACTATCAAGTTTCAATTGGCATTCAGGTTATGTAAACAGAAACGACTAGATCTTGGTTTGATCACTAATCATGTTTTTAATAGTCAATTCAGAGTTACAGTACTATTTTGGAGTCAGCTGTCATACTTGCGTAAGCTTTATTTACAATGTAAAAGGATTAGATTTGCAGTTAGCAAATTAAAAGTCTAATAAACGGAGTTAGTCAAAACACCTTCATTTAAACCCAGCCTTTTGTATCTAAGTATCATGGAAAACATAACACTCTTGTGTGTACAGTTGGCCACTACAGAGCTCGGGCAAAGTGGCGCAGTGGAGGGCTAAGTTTCATTAACTTTGAATTGCTTTGCTTTTGCTAAAGAATAACAAACATGAACCCTAATTTTATTTGAATATATTTTCTTCTGTGGTTGCCAAGAGCCAGAATGACTTGATGTGCACTAGCTTTTGATGCAAAATAGTGGTTTCTATGGTATGAAATCTGGAGATTCAGGTTTATAAGTAAATTTTGTAAATCAAGTAAAATAAAAATACTGTAAAATGTGAATTGTATACACAGCAAATGTAAATTGATACAGCCATACTACTTAAAGTGACACTTATATGGCACTTTATTAGTGTCAAATTATTTTATTAAACAGTGAAAATAGCTAAATTTAATGGACAATAATTATTCAAAGTATTACTACTTTCTCCTTTATGAAGATACTGTAATGCACATGCTTTCCCAGAAGATGAAAAATATACAGTTTTGACTTTTCATTGGCTGGAATTCCCCTTTCCTGTCACTAACTAATGTTTTCATGAACAGTTGGGTGCCCAATTCTGATATAAATAAAATGCCAGCTATATGAGAGAGCAGTGAAGAAGCTAATGTCGCAAAGGTTACTGGCTCCAGGGAGAGAGGTAGCCTAAAAGACTGCATTGAATGGAAGCACGATTTAAAAAAAAGAAAAAATTGAGCTGATGGAAAAACAGAACCTTATATAAAATGCAGACCACTGAATGAATGGGACAGTAGATGCTGGCATTTTCCTAATAGTTCCTCAATTTGTAAAGAGCCTCAGTTGCTTATGGGAGTGGGAGTCCTCATTGGTGCACACATGAGCTCTCACTAATTTGCAGATAAGGGATCAAAACAGCTATATTTTATCAAACAATCTTGTAATAGGTAGTAAAGTTGTGTAAATGCAATACTGAGAATCAAGTAAAATTAAACCACATTCTGCTGTTCTTCTTTAGAAACATTCCTGCGTAAATACTGCAGTAATACTGTCATGCAGAGTGTATCCTTTCTTGTTGTATCCTTTTTTGTGCAATGTTTTCCATAGCACTCAAATATCTCCAAGTTCTCTTTTAGTGTAGGTGCGGGGAGGAATTTATACTTTTTTTACAATTTTGTAAATCTCTGTTAAAATAAGTAAGATACTTTAAAATTATAAAGGGGACTTTTTCAGGGAGAAAGCTAGTGAATCCGGTCACTTATTTACTTAGAGGGACACCATGAATGTTTCTAGTCTCAAAATGTGACCTTTCCTCCCTGTTCCTTCTCTAAATCCATATAATTCTTTATTTTATGGGCCAGATCCTGAACTGGTGTAAATTGGCCTTGTTCCATTGACTTCAGTGGCGCTATGCTGACTTACATCAGCTGATGAGCTGGCCCTAGATGTTCCTTTTTAAAAAATAGCAACACCGCACTGTGTTAGAATGTTTCAGTTTTGATGGGGTGGTTATAAGTAGAAAACAATCCTTGACGTTGTCTTTTTAAGTAATACATTCATTTAATGACAGCTTGTGTCCCAGTTTATGGGACGCAACCTGCACTTAGTTTCTCTTGTAACTTTTTCCTTTTTTTAGACTAGAGAACAGAAAATCTAGCAATGTTTCATAATGAAGTAATGAAGACTGAAGCTAAACTTTATTCATTGCTACCTTTGTTTCCCACTTTCTGGTAGTGTTTTATGGCAACTAATCTATAATTTTCCTGGGGGTTTTGTATTACAGCATTCTGTGATTAACCTTACTTTTTTAAGTTTAATATAAACTAATACATGCTGTATGTAGTAAGCCAAATTTAGCTGGCTCAGACATGATTCACTAATTTTTTATATCTTAAGTTCTTTCAACTTTCCAGTTAAGCTTCTGACAACTGAACACAGTAATTTTCCAGTCATTTATACTTTTAACATGCCTTTATAATGTTCCAGGTTCCTTTTGTGTTCCATCTCTTTCAAGTGTTACCAAGCCATGGGAAGAAGCAATGTGATCAACAGGACTGTTGAACAGTGCGTAGTAGCATTTCAAATGTTTTTAAAACAAGACTTAATTCTCTTCATTCTTAAAGGTTCCAAATGCTTTTAAACACATTGTAGCCTATCAGAAGACAGATATATGAAAAATGTATATTCGTCCGCTTGTTAAATCTCTAATAAATTATTCCTTTTCCCTTCACTTTGCGTTATACCTGCTCTTTTTTTTTGAGATGAGGTGTTTCAGTATTGTGTTTCTGTTAGAGGTAATTATTTTACATGTTTATGCTTCAGAGCTTTAATGTCATATAGGGTGACCAGATGTCCCGATTTTATAGGGACAGTCCCGATTTTTGGGTCTTTTTCTTATATAGGCTCCTTTTACCCCCCCACTCAGTCCCGATTTTTCACACTTGCTGTCTAGTCACCCTAATGTCAGAAGACACATTCCTAGGCTCCAGGGTGAATGATGTTTTCTTCCTGCCTTGAGGATATTGATGTGCTCCTGAAAGTAAAAATGGGGATAAGAATCAGTTTTAGTGAATCGGGAATTCTTGTTTTGCCTTGGAAACAGAACTGAACTAATGCCCTGGTATTGTGTTGGGGGCACAGTACCAGCAGAAATTTTTTTTTTCATTCAAATGAAAGTGAGTTGCGGCTGGTCGTTTATTCTTGGATTGAGAATTACACTGCTATGACCAGTGTCAATAAAGTAGGGACCATATCTGCAAAAATATATGAATAGTATCAAGTCCAAAGAGGCCCAATCCCGATTGAGGCCTCTGGACATTACCATCAGATAAATACCAAACAATTATAATTTTAAACACTGCTACGCCAAGGGAACAATGTAGGCTAGCATTCTTACTCAATTATTGAAGCAGCAGTGCTATAAATCAATGCTTTTAGGCTATCTGAAAGTATGCGACACTAATTTTCAGAACTATAGCGAAGCCAAGCAGTTTTATATATTCTAAAATCATGTGGGAAAGACTATGTAAAGGTGCTTAATTGGCAGTGAAATACAAATATTTTGAGGAGCAATAAACCTAACCATCAAATCCAGAACTAGTGCTTTGTAAGGCAGATGGAAGGGGATATAGACCTCTCTCTTGTCCCCACTCCATTAGCAACAGGGGAAAGAAAGCTCACTCTTAGTACTTACTCATTACTATTTAACTAAACCTATGCAATACGTCTACGTTCTTTCTTCAGTGAAACCTGGTTTTATTATCATTTAAAACGCTTGAGTTTAAGAAACCCTACTTGTTATACACCTCTACCCCGATATAACGCGACCCAATATAACACGGGTTTGCATATAGCACGGTAACCCCAGGGCTCCAACAGCAGGGTTCAGGCGGTGCTTTAAAGGGCCTGGGGCTCCAGCTGCTGTGGGGAGCCCTGGGCCCTTTAAATCACCGCTGGCGCCCTGACGCTGCTACCCCCGGGGCTCTGGCAGTAGGGCTTGGCCGGCGATTTAAAGGGCCCGGGCTCCCTGCAGTGGCCGGAGCCCAGAGCTCTTTAAATCACCGCTGGAGCCCTGCCACCGCTATCCCGGGGCTCCGGCAGCGCTTTAAAGGGCTCGGAGCTCCGGCTGCTGTGGGGAGCCCCATGCCCTTTAAATCACTGTCGGAGCCCTGCCGCTGCTACCCCGATATAACGGGGTTTCACCTATAACGTGATAGGGATTTTTGGCTCCTGAGGACCGTGTTATATGGGGGTAGAGGTGTATTCTTTAATGCCTACGTTATAGAGGTGTGTATGTGGGGAGATTAAGATGACTTGCATCAAAACTTTTAACACAGCTTTAATAAAACCTTAAACAGCACACCAGCCAAATAATCATCATAATGCTCTTTATTTTGAGCACAGCTTATGGAGATGGAACACTAGCACAAGCTATGAACAGACATTTTAGAAAACTAACCTGTTGATATAAAAGAGCAGGGAGCTTTGATTTTTTTTTTATAGTCTATCAAATAATTGTCTTTAGTACAACTAAGATGACTCAAACTAATAGACACACACTACACATGCTGAAAGGTGGCTTTCCCCCCGACCATAAATAAAAAAGCTAGTTCCTGTATGTTGGTTTATTTCTGAAGTTTAGCAAGCAAACAAAATAATTGGTGGTTAATTGGGGTTGGTTAGTTATACTGTAGAGTTAAAGCCACATCACAAGTTAAGTTACTTAAATTTGCTAAAGAAAAGCAGAATAACCTACAGGAACAAGTGTTCAGGTACTCATTATATCAACTTCCCAAACTAGCTTTGACTCATCGTCCACACTTGAGAAGTAAGTGATGCACCTGCCATGCCTCCACGGTCCATGAGCAATGTCCCTCTCTTTCTACCCTTTTTCACTAACCAACTCACCGAAGCCATGGTGCTTCTCTTATGTGTAGGGTCTTTTAACACTTAAGCCTTGACTTCAACAGTTTGCTAAATTACTAAATTTTGAGAGCAGCCATGCTACAAAAACAACTCAGGTTACACAGAGTGATTTAATTAACAGCTCAGAGTTACAGCTGAAGACTGTAGCTGTGTCCCTACTGCATTATTAGCTCATGCTTCAGTAGTACTTCAGCATCTACCCACCACCCATGGCAGACCATCTAGCTCGAATTTAAAACACCAGATAACTCAAGCTAGAGATTTGTGTATGTAGATGGGAGTTGGGTTAGAGGCAACTCTAGGTATACCTTGATCTAACACTGCAGTGAAGACAAGCCATTAGAGAAAATTTTCTTTTAAGAGTTTCTAGCTCATACATTTATAAACAAAAGCTTAAGTTTTGCAGACACTGTTTCAGCACATCTGATGGCTACTCATCAGTATCTGTAAATACCAGCTTAATCTTATCATACTTTCTAGTCTTGCCATATCCCCTCCCTATTTGGGAAAGAATTTTTACCTCCTGTGTATGATTTTAAAAGGATTAAATGCCTTGAGCTTTAACACCTTTTAACTTATCCCTTTTTAGCAAGGCATGGGAGGATGTTTCTCAGACAGTGTGTAAATATAAAATGTAAAGTTCATTCACGTTTAGTAACGAATGGCTTATAAAAATCACAACGCTTAAATTACACTTACTTCTTACTCAATACAATGTACATCATTTAGATATAGTTACCTATAACTAGTTTTCAAGCAGATGCCAGGTTATAACGGTAAAGCACTTGGCTAATTCTCAGAACAGATGTGCTTGAATAAAGTACGCCTGAAGGTTTCTATTAAGATCTTCTAGCAAAAGAGTCCTTGATGCATTATCAGGAACTTGGGACATCAGAAAGTACATTTTCTATACAGCATAAATCTAAAACTTGGCCAGATTCTTGGGTATGATTTGATCATTCTGTGCCGCATTGAATCTGCCTGTAGAGCAAGTGTATCCAGTCCTCAGAAGATCACTTGAACCCACGGTAAGTCTAGTCATTTTCCTTGAAAAGCGAGCCTTGAAACTAATGCAAATGGATTGTTGTGGTTAAATGGAAAATGCATGCAGCTTGGCTGCACTTGTGCTGCAGAAGACTGCAGTTCTTAAAGAGCACTTCCACCCCGAGTCAGTTTATTTTTGTGGTAAATCCCAACGAATCATCTAGCTAAGTGTCCCTTGACTTTAAAGCTAGCCTCATGTGAAGTGTACGCTGATAGCACCTGAGGAGTAAGAGATCTCTAGTACCAAAGCAGATCTACTCTCTAAAGAATCAAAAAGAACACCTTCCTCAATTACCCATACCACAGCTAGAGCTCACAAGAAAACACTGGCCATCACTACTGCTGTGAGAAATAGCTGCCGCTTAGAGAAGATTCTGAGATACTGTTGGGTGTAGAGGTACTGAGGTGGAGGGTGGATGATGGAAAGATTGAAGGGTTTGGCAGGGAAGATTACAGAATGGATTTTGGTGAGGACGGGTTAGGGAACAGGACTCTTTCCAGGGAATTGCTGACAGGCAAAAAAAATTGTAGCAGAGCTCCTTTTGTGGAGATATCACTGACTTTGGTGAATTTGTTCCTTCGTTTTCATTTTAATGGTGGGAGTGGTGTATTTTCCCCAAAAGAATTTCAGGAAAGGGTGGGGTAAGTAATTTCAGTACCGATAAACACAAATGTTTAGAAAGATGTATGGGATTTCCCCCCCTTTTTTTTTAAATCCATTCCTGGGTGGGAAGGGTGTCTCTTTTTCCCCCCCAAAACACATGTCTTTCAAGGAAACTCGTGGTGTGCCTTACCTCCCACTGTTTTGTTTTTTAAGTACCTATTTGCAGTAGTTCATGTTACTAGTATTTTCATAGCAGCACACATTTAACAAACAAATTGCTCAGGTCATGCTTAGGCTTTTCCCTCTTTGGTGGCACTCTCCTCAGTTTCTGAAACTGGATCCAGTTTGGGTTTGTGTGACAGTGCACAAATGTTTATCCTAGCAATGGAGCTCTAGTAGTTTTCACCATGAAGAAAGCATGTCTCTGCTCCAGCTGCATTTATCTTAGTGATAGGATAAACTCCGGTCTTGTAGGGAGAAGACAGTGTGGCAACAGTAAACTAGGCAGGTCTGTAGAAGACAATATTGGTTGGTCCACCAGTACCACTTCCTGTCATACCTAGATATTCTTTGAAAGGGACTGAATTCCTTAATGAGTTGGACCGGGCATCCTTAGTCTGTCTAACTGACAGGATCACAGTACAAAGCAGGATGCAGTCAGGCTACTGAGCAGATGAAGTATAAAGCAACAAGCACACAGTTTACAATGTTTTAAAATCTCTCTGCTGTATTCCCTGACACACACATTGCTTCTACGTGTTCTGCCAAACAATCATCATTTCAGATTCCCAGGGAATCAATAGGATGGAAGCAAGATGGTGATACATAAGAAACAAATAAAACATATCCCCATTGAGCCCCTTTTCAAGTCTAAAGAATCAAGACAGGGCCCATTGCTCAGCAAATGGTTTGAATTTGAAAACAAAGTTTAAAAAAAACATTTTTCACATGTCTTTGATTTATCGTGGTGTTTAAAAACAAACAAACCTAC